TTGTAACACATGCACATCGCACAGAGATTGTTAAAGTTGGAGCACATGAATTTCAACATACGGAAGGTCCATTTGATGCCAAAGATGGGCGTTCTATGACTGCATTTTGGTTTAAACGACGCCTTCTGAATGGACAAGAGGTCAGTCGTTCCTGGTTGGTGTATTCACCTCTACATAATGCAGCATACTGCTTTTGTTGTCTTTTTTTTCATCTACATGTAAAAAAATCCGATAGTTGGTCTGCTTTCAAAACACAGAGTGGATTCTCTAAGTGGAAAAAATTTGAAAAGTTAAATATCCATGAAAATAGTGACAGTCATCATGAGTCATTTGCTGCTTGGAAAGAAACTGAGTGCCAAATTCGTCTACAAAGTGGCATTGACGAAGAGCCGCAAAAGCAAATTCAGCAAGAAAAAAATAAATGGAGAGATGTACTGCAGCAGTTGCTGGATTGTACACAATATTTAGCTTCTCAGATTCTTGCATTTCGTGGTCATACTGAGAACATAACCTCAAACGAAAACCCTGGAAATTTCCTGTCACTTTCGCAGTTATTAGCGAAGTATGATCCAGTAATGAGAGAGCATTTACAGCATGTTAAAAACAAGCAAATGTCAACATCTTATCTTTCCCCTGAAATCCAAAATGAGTTTATAAATCTCATGGCTTCACATGTGTGAAATTATTGTTTGTCAGCAATTCGTAGAAACAAATACTATGGTATTCTATTTGATTCCCCACCTGATTTAGCCGATCGTGAGCAACTGACTCAAGTGATTCGGTTTGTTGACATTGACTTTAAGACAAGTCAAAGAGTCATTTATTGACTTTATACATATAAAGGAAAAAGATGCTGCCAATATTGAGAAAACAATAAGCACAAAATTAGAAGCAAATGAAATTTTATTGAGTGATTGTTGTTCACAATGTTATGATAATGCTGCTGTCATGTCAGGTCATCTGTCAGGCATTCAACAAAGAATTCTGAACAAAAATCCAAAAGCAGTGTTTATAAACTGTGACAACCATAGTTTGAACTTAGCATGTCTTCATACTGCAAGTCAGGAAACAACAGTTATTACCTTTTTTGGTATAACTGAAGCCATTTATAATTTCTTTGTTCATTCAACAACTCGATGGGACGAACTGCAGCAGGAGCTTAAGATCTCTGTGAAGTATGAATCAGAAACACGATGAAGTACAAGAGAAAAGACAGTAAAAGTTGTACATGAAAAACTTGATGAGATTGCTAGGACTGTTATAGCAATTAAGTGAGAATGGCAACTCGGCTGAAACAAAATGTGGTACTCATAATATTCTGCAATGCATGCTTACATTTGGTTCTCTTGTACTTTTGCATTTTTGGCAAAAATCTTTTATCATCTATCAATTGAGTGCAGAAATGTCTTCAGAACCCAAAAATGAATTTTAGAGAAGCAGCTGCTGATCTTGATTCTTT